TATATAAACATGCAAATAGTAGTATCTGCCTTTAGGCTTATGTGGAGTAGGTTTCTGCCTGAGTGCTAGAAATAGGCAGGACAAAGCATCATTGATTCTTTCTACAGAAAAAAAGTGAGGTTATCACACGGCAGTTTCCCAGTACCCAGTACTATCAACATTTGTGCCAGTGTGGTTTTCCTTTTATTTTGAGGTTTAGATGATGTAATAAATATACTGTGCAGTGAAGGTAAGGTCCTCCTTTCCAAAGGAACCTGATCTTACCACCCCAAACTGGATCATTGCTTTTTTATTTAATGTGTTTAGGCCTTCAGTTGGGAAGTAAGTGAAGCATTATTTTCCTCTAGCTATCTTCTAGGTTCCACTTTAAAAGCAAATTAAGAGTTCAGATGCCTGCTTCCATTTGTTTGGCTATCAGTTCCTAATGGATTTGTGACTCAGACAGCTTTCAAGTCTGTCATCCTGGCACTTAGTCTTTTTCTCTGACCTTTATTACAGCATGTTCCCTACTGACATTCCTGTTTGAAATACATAGTTTTCTGCTATGAACACAGTTTTTCTCTACTTCTGAGTGCTACTTTACTCATTTAGCATTAAGTTTAGGATTTCTTTGGTTCTAGGTTCAGCTCCATATCCATCTCACTAGCTCCCTAAGGAGTCACAACTTCAATTTCCACTTACAGATAACACGCTAATTTGTATTTTTAGTTCAGATCATTTCTCTTCATTCCAGCTGTGGAGAATTGGCTTGTTATTGTCCTGTCCTCCGAGTAGACACCCTTTTACAAGAAACCAGAATTTTTGTGAAATCTGTTGGCTTCCACATATATTTTTCACATATGTGTGTGTGGTATGGGTGTATGCATGGTTGCATATTTGTGCCCCTTCTGAAGTGGAATTACAAGTGGGCCACTCTGCTCACCCAGCTCTTCAGTGCTTTAAGCACTGAATTATCTCCCCAGCCCAAAATCTGTTGGCTTTTAATTGTTTACAACTAATTTACAAAATACATGAATTAACAAGAAAGGTCTGTAGGGTTCTATCCAGAACCTTCTTGTGAAGAGGTAGTCTTAACTCTATATTAGTAGTCATTGTAGAAAAGTAAATGCATTTGTTCAC